GCTTCCAAATATGATAGAGATAGGTTTGGCATGTGGTTAGAAGGAGACCAGCTCAATGAAGCCTTTTACAAGTGTAGACCTATGATTGCTAGCCATTTCCGTTGGAATGTGGGGAATGGTGCCTCCATTTCTTTTTGGCACCATAAGTGGTTAGGAGATGTCCCACTGAAGCTGAGCTACCCTAACCTTTTCGCAAAGGTTCTCCTACCGAATTCCATGGTTGATGATTTGGTTGAGTGTAAGGCCCCAACGTTGCTTGGAATATTTCCTTCCCATATAATCGTCTTTCTGGCGAGGCTTTCAATCAATGGCTTCATCTTTTGGGGTTATTGAAGAAGGTTTACATCTCCCATGGCCACCCGGACGAACTTATTTGGGAATTTAAATGCAATGGTCTTTTTTCGGTCAAGTCTTGCTATAGACTATTTTTCCATGACAGATGGCGTTGGTCTCTACCTACAACAGCCAAAGTTTGGAAATGGCCCATTCCCCACAAGGTGCAGGCTTTTCTATGGCTTGCCATCCAAAATAAAAATTTGACTGTCGACAATTTGATAAAAAGAGGTAAAGTGTTATTGAATATCTGTCTTATGTGCAAAATGGACGAGGAAACGTGTAATCACCTTTTCATTCACTGTCGGGTAGCCTCCAAAATTTGGTATTGGTTTTTCGGATTACTTGGGATTCATGCCCCCATTCCTATGACAATTGTGGATATAGTGTCTCAACTCGCTTTTCATCATTTACCAGCCGATGGCTACGATCTGGCAAATTGCTAGGGCACTTTGGGAAATATGGAAAGAGAGAATAGGCATATTTTTTAGGGGGTAAGTGTCACACCCCAAGTTTTATAACACTAAAATTTCTGAGATGTTACAGTTTATTTATAAAGAACAAAACAAATTCGAAATTTTTATTACATTTTGCTTCAAAACGATTGTTCCATTTAAAAGCTTTTTGTACAAAGTCTATTTCACAATTTGTAATAATAACCTGAGGTCCATATATATATACAAGTTTGATAGACAAAAGTTACATAGGAGAATGTATTCATAACTACATACTTCTTCTTCCAAACACCTCCTGCTGTGATTATTCTGGAAAAAAAATTACCACAGTTTGATGAGTTTGGCTACTCAGTAAGTGACCATCATTAACCTTAAAACAATAATCATAATTGACAAATATAGATATTTTCTAAAAAAATGCATATAAAGCAGGATTTTGACATCTTGATTTCATATATTCTAATATATGCTACTAGACATATTCATTTATGATCTTACACATGTCTTGTATTCCTTATTAGACAATGCAAATAAGCATGATACATAAACCATATGCATACGTTCATATTAAGATCAACCATAAGTATCCGATATAATCAAACAAGCATTCATAGCCATAGAAATCCTGCAATAAGCATTCACAACAACAGGAGTCATGCGATAAGCATTTACAGCAACAGAAGTCCTGCACAAGTATTCACAATAACAGAAGTCCTGCAGTAAGCATTCACAAAAACAGAAATCCTGGGAAGTTTTACAAAATTTGGAACACAAATAATT